CTTACAACCAAGTAAAAAAAAACCCTAACATTTATTCTAAGATAGATATTGTATGCCTGGTATCCAGGCCACTGCTTGCAGATTACACAATTGTTTCGATGATTGCATTTTGTATTACTAACCCTTAATAGGGAGCACAGCCATATAAAGTTAACTCACAACGTTGCGTCGGTTGTTTTAAGTATTAATCAGTTGCTAGTGTGCACTGAGATGTTGTTAGGTAACTAATATTTGCATATTTTTTATTCACGCCTCGAAATGAAAGGGACATAGTACTTTCTTAATCTTAAAAATGAAAAAAAAAACTGGAGTAAAGTAAGTGGAAAGGTATAAAATAGGTTTTTATGTCTTATAAATGACACCATATCGAAAGGTCACGCATTATATCCTGGAAACTTTAAATATGAGCCACTATTGTTTTGTAAGTGAAATATAATTCCCCGAAGCTCCAGCTTTCAAGCGAACAGCTCTATAGATGCGATAGTTCTTGGGAAAATGTCGTGGTGGTGGTTAGCCTCAGGGATTCGGTGCCCTTCAATGTACTTTTACCTATTGCTCGGTTTTCCAGTATCGGAACGCTGGCCGGGGCTGTTACAACAACCGTAACGAATATCTCGTTCCCGCATTGTACATACTAAAATGAATTTTGCGACAGCTATTAATTAACGGAGGTAAAAGAAAACATTGTTACACTGGCGAGATAGATATTTAGATTCCATTCTATATTTATGAACCTTTTGCATATATTTGCAATATCGACAGACATTTAGTTAGCTGTTCTATTCAAATTTGATTGATGTAGCCAACGTTACTAATTACTATGCAAATTACAGTGTCATAAAACAGTTAAGAGAAAATAGTTATTCATGCAGTATTTATTACCTTTGGGCGCAGTTTAGAAAGTGTATTGAAGTATTATAGCCTAAAGAAATATGTTCTTTCGTCGCAAGTCCTTATCTTAAATATTTGACTACATAAGGTCTATTATTATAATCCAATGAAAAACTGTAATTACATTCTTTAAGTTCGGTAACAGCACTCTGAAGCCTCAATCACTTCCCCCTTTTATCCATGTTTGTAAATACACCAATATACATTTTACCATATTTTAAAACTACACAGCCCACATTTTCCGGTAGTCTTCTTGATAACGTGGTATATATACACATACGTTGAAAAATTCTAAAATTTCAAGAATTAACGTTTGTTACGGTTGATTTTTTTCTCACGTCGTTTTACTATTCAATAGTTTAAAAAGATAGTTGGTGGTAAGTTTGATGGGTTGAAGGATCTGGTTTCACATACTTAGATATTACGCCTCTTTAGATGATGAAGAATTTAAGTCACACCCTGAAGTTTTGTTTTCACCAGCATGATCATAAGGACAGTTTTTAGGTACAGACGAGGTGAGATGCTTTAAACGTTGATAAAAGGATGAACAAGGACTCGAAAACACCACCTTACTTTCTAGGAAAGCTTCTAAAGGAGGAGCAAGTACTCGAAAACACCACCTTACTTTCTAGGAAAGCATCTAAAGGAGGAGCAGGTACTCGAAAACACCACCTTACTTTCTAGGAAAGCTTCTAAAGGAGGAGCACGTACTCAAAAACACCACTTTACTTTCTACGAAAGCTTCTAAAGGAGGAGCAGTACTCGAAAACACTACCTTACTTTCTAGACAGCATCTAAAGGAGGAGCAGGTACTCGAAAACACCACCTTACTTTCTATGAAAGCATCTAAAGGAGGAGCAAGTACTCGAAAAGAAAACACCACCTTACTTTCTATGAAAGCATCTAAAGGAGGAACACGTACCCGAAAACCCCACCTTACTTTCTATGAAGGCATGTCTAAGCCACTTTATATGTAGTTGTTTTTTGCACCAGTTACGTTTGTGCCCGATAGTCTGGTCCAACATTAATCAAAACTATGTTGAACGTTAAATTCAGATTTGTACCATCAAATAATTTTAAGGTGAGGAGTTCAATCGTCTAACCTTATCAGTTGTTTTACTTGTTCAAACACTGCACAACAGGTTGCAAGGAAAACGAACATGAACAGCAGTATTAATATTTAAACAAACTCTGAGGTAACTAGAATATTAGTAATATATTACATTAACACCTTTACTGTAATGTTTGTTGTTCACATGAAAATAGAAGTCTTATGAGACTAAGTCTCTCAACAAGAGGATATGAACATTCTACGTAAGTTTACAGTTGCCAAGAGTAAAATAAAACAAATAGAAATACAGTTCCCGCAGTAACTACTTGAAAGTTTCCGCAGTTGATACAGTGAGTTGGGAATGTACAACTTTACTTTCCTACGTGTGTTTGAGTATGTATGCGTTACTTGTAAAGTTTTATAATCAAGGTTATAGATATCTAGCGTACGTCAAACATTACAAACATTTTCACTGGAATAAAAACATGTAAATTAATTCATATAACTACAATAAATAACTAAGAATACACGTTATACGTAATTTGAAAGCTTACATTTAACACACACGTACGTCTAAGAGTAATACATGATTCTAATATTCCAATCCTATAAAATATACGTATATAAATATATATATATATATATGGTGTAGATTTTAATTCGACTTAATTATTTTAGTTACCACATACTCTTGCTTATTCAGGGCATTTTGTGTGTTTCTGACTTAACCAGATTTTTCTTTTTAAATCTGCATATTTACTCAAACCGCTGATTATCATACTCAAAACGAAATATTCAAGTTCTGAATAATGGATGACGAAACAACGCTGAGTCCTACCTGTATTTCCTGGATTAGCTCGGTTTCGTCTAACAACAAAATCTTGCAATGACGAGTTTTCGGCTTTTCTCCGAAACACTTCATTATTCTGTTTATAACGGTCGGAAATGCTTTGGCAATAAAGTCACGCTTTAAAATAAAACGATAAAAAGACTTTCATTAAAAAGACTTTTATTAATATTGAAAAAATAGAAGCGTAAAAAGTGGAGAATATGTCAAAAAAAAATTCGCGTGGTAAATTTACCTGAAAAATTAAGGCACTGTCCACCAATAACAGGAAAACGAAAATTTAGACAAAACAATCCTAACCATTTCTTCTTGTCCTTAAATTTACATCACATTAATGAATAAGGTGAGAAGAAAGTATCTTGCTACTAATATCATCATATTCCAGTGTACAAGCTACTAAGAAAGTTCACGAATACTGGCAAATCGCGTGGCCTCGTTAACTACTTAACGGCAGTGAACAACTGCTAGATACCTGACGAGTCAAGTAAGAACCGTCCAGTGGGTCGTATGCATGCAATTAAACAACAGAGTCTTGTTCTTTACAGGTGAGTCTATGACGTTTCACTCGTGGATGGATATTAGAAATTTACTGCCGCCATCTGGTAGCAATATTAAGAAGCTAAATATAATAAAATGCACAGACGTTTTTCCACATGTTATTTGGGTGTTTCTTTGGTTAAGTTTTCCAATCCAGTGCTAAAGTCTTCATTAGGTATAATTTAGTTAGTGTAGTTCTAAATAGCGTTGTAAGGCTAGAACAATTTAAAAGATAATAAGCGGTCAACAAATTACATTACGTACTTACAGCAAGGTTGTAGCGATCAGATATCAATCGCTATCATGGTTAGTACGTAGTAGCCTAGATTATCACTTGATTTCATATATATTTTATAATCATTTTTTTATATAATCTAGCTACTGATTACTAATTAGTTTTATCATACGTTTCGACTACTAATATACTGCCTCCTTCTAGGAAGTACTGGAGAAGACTGTTTCTGTTGTTGTAACACATTTTGTTTTCGTTATGCGGGTTCTTTTGGATCATATGCCATGGTAAAAATAATGCATTTGTTTGTGAAATTAAGCCCAAAGCTACACAATGGGCTATCTGTGCTCTGCCCACCACGGGTATCGAAACCCGGATTCTAGTGTTGTAAGTCCGTAGACATACCACTGTGCCACTGGGTGGGAAAAATAATGCAAGATCCGGTCCGCAAAAACAAAAATATAGTAATTTATTTCTTCTTTATATTAGCTACAGTTACGCTTACCTGTAGGCCTAATTTTAAATATATAACTTTTCAATAAACTACAATACTACTCTAGGCCTAATTCACTAATAACATTTGACAGCAATTTCCTTGATTGATAATAAACACTAACTTACTGATTGACTTACCAAAGCTCTAACTCCTTTGCTTGCTCCTAGCAAGTACAGAAATATTCTAGATTCTAGGACTATTTTTATGATCTTACACTTATGCGTCCTCTAACAAACATTCAAAATAAAACTTACAAAACTGTGCTAGTTATGATTCGATCGTGGGTATTTCTGATAGAGGATTTGGTAAGTTTTTCCACTCGACTGTGGTCAAGTTTCTTAAAGTAGATAGTTTAAGAAATCAACCAAGGACACAGTAAAATTCGTTCTTAACAATAATTCCCCATCTTACAAACTTATAGGCAAGGATAAAATGATTACCTCATCATGTGTGCGAAATATTTAGAAAACTAAGACGGTGGTTTGAAAATTCCAACATCAATATTATTTTCATGTATAGTAATTTTTATGCGAATATCTTTGTTGATACTAACTAACGGAAACTACAACTCATCTAGTATGAATTTTACACTTAATATTATTACGTAAGAAAATACTTAAAATGGAGTTATTTTACTGCAAATAAAGTGACATTGTTCGAAGGTAGCGAACAACAATTGCACCATGTTTTACTTTTGATAAGAATGTAAGAGATGCACGTTATCCAACATAGGATTGTTGGCGGAAAGAATTGAATGGACGTTTAATTTAATTCAGTGTTCTGCTATTTTCTAAATATATCGCCTAGGTTTGACTTAAGCATAAATGTTTCTACATAATGTAGTTCTTATAGCTAAGGTAAAGAAATATTTGAAGGTGGCAGATATGTGTAAAATGAAATATATTAAATTTTGAAGTCTTATAAGCAATGGGGACTGTAAGATAAAAACCTGACAAAACAGTGTTCACTCATATTTGTGTTTATTAAAAACATTTTCCAAATTAATCTGTCATATCTCATAAAATTTAAAAAACAACAACAAACTATTAGCCTGTTTTAACGACATTTATATATGTGTGTGTTTTAAGTAGGGAGAACTTACCTAACGTCGGCTCTTTAATTTCAGATTTTCTTTGCCAAATTTTGATAGGATTTCTGATCCAAGTTTACAACCCCTCTCTGGCATCTAGTGGCCCAACGGTAAGTCTGAAAGATTATAACGCTAAAAACCGGGTTCAATACCCGTTGTGGGCACAGCACAGATAGCCAATTGTGTAGTTTTGTGCTAAACAATAGTCAACAGATAGTTATGTTTTATAATTTCTACTGATGTAACTTAGGAAGTGTCAGTCGAAAGAGGTGTTTGAATCACTTTCGAGAGAAAAACCCCTTCCCACGGTATAATCTCAATACCCTGATATTTGGGACTTTTAGACATTTGTCATGCTTTTTCGATTCCATCACATTATTTAAAACTGTGATCTATTATACAAAAATGTTATTACAATCAAATACGACCTTAAGAGTAGAATTAATCAAGTTTCACAAACATTCTATTTCTAACGCGTGAAGTGCAATGTAAAATATAGTTTCTGTCATTTGAAATACATTTTACATGTTTTTAGATTTGTGTAAATTTTCGATCTGAATATTGTTTAGCTTCTAATAAATGGAATGAGTATGTGTACCACTTGGATCATTATATCTTATTTCAGCATGTTGTCCTAGCTTGTATGTAATCTCTAAGGAGGCCTCTTGAATTTTATGATTGGAAGATTAGTTGCTATTTTTTCCGTATCATTATTTCAACATCTTTTTTATCTCTTAAGGAGAAAAGCTTTCTCGGATTGTTTTATGTTATTTTTGTTACGCAATCTTTTGCGTGGGTTTAGATCTGGTTGGGGTTGCTTTCGATCTGAAAGATTGAAGAAGTCAGTGATTCTTCGTTGTATATAACTGGAAAATTTTTACATTGTGCAAATAAAATTTATTTACTTCCCTGTTCATCAAAAAGTTTCTATTTTAGAAAACAAAAGTAGATTCCATTAAAGAAGTCAACAAGCTATTGTTGGATGGCAAGCACTCATTCCATTTCTAATAGCTCTTTGTCAGGTACACTTAAAAATAATTATAAATAATTATTTGTAGGATTCATTTGAAGTTGTATGATTCGACCTTAAAGGCTCATAGATTCTATGATTTAAAAGTTTGAATTTGCAAGGTTTGTAGAATGCAGACAGTGCTAATGGTGTGCCCCCCAGTGGCACAGTGGTATGTCTGCGGATTTACAACGCTAGAATCCGGGTTTTGATACCCGGGGTGGGCAGAGCACAGATAGCCCACTGTGTATCTTTGTGCTTAATTACAAACAAACAAACAAAAACAAGTTAATGGTGCACAAAGAAGAGACAACTTTTTAGGTCAGAAACTTTTTAAGGTCACGTCAGCTTTATAGTATAAATCTAAAGATTATACCTTATTTTAGACCTGAAATACACCCATTGAATCCTATATTAATTCAGCTTGTAGCTATGTATATAAGTACGTATGTCTAGCGGGGGCCTGAGAGAGGTGGGATGGGGCCAGTCACAAATGTGTGTGGCTCACCCACTCCGAAAGCCATAAAAATATATGAATAAAATCAATAAAACATAAAATATAACAGATTTTTCACCTTTTATCAAAAGAAACTTTAATTTATATAAGTGAAATTATTTACATTACCGATTACAATACTTCACAATTTACATGTAATTTGCATTTATTTGAGATATAATTTGACGACGTGTATAACACTACCGAAGTTGAAAATTGATAGGAATTAAAAATTAGTTTTAAAATGTTTTCGAGCTTTATTTTTAGCAAATTCCTTTATTATCGTTGAAAAATCTATTGTCCGCGAAACGTCAGAATTTATGTGAAGAATTGATAGCACATTTAGCCTTTCTTCGGACATTGTAAATCTGTTATAATTCTTCACTCTCTTCATAACACTTAAACTTCTTTCCGCAGAAGCAACAGAAGCGGGTAGACTAAAAAAAAATTCTAAGTGCTACGGACAAATTTGGAAACAATTCAATTAAATTAGTTTCCAATATTTTCTGTAGCAAATTCACTGGAAATATCTCTGTTGTATTTTTTGTGCTGAAGCTTTTATTTGTTCATCAGTTTAAAAAAGTCCATAGGATTCCAAATAAGTTATAGTTTTCGCGCAAGGATTCAAATCGACATTTCATTCCAGATATTACGGAATCAATAATACAAAAAAAAACGTCTATTCTATAATGTTTTTTTCAGCGTCGGACTGTGTTTTAATGCTGTGGGTTGTTTGAAACTCTATTGAAATTCTGGAATTTCCAACCATTGTGTTTTAATGCTGTGGGTTGTTTGAAACTCTATTGAAATTCTGGAATTTCCAACCATTGTGTTTTAATGCTGTGGGTTGTTTGAAACTCTATTGAAATTCTGGAATTTCCAACCATTTTGTTTTAATGCTGTGGGTTGTTTGAAACTCTATTGAAATTCTGGAATTTCCAGCCATTTCCTTTGACTTTGAAAGTATTTTGTACCATTCCCCACGGACTTGTCGAATGTTTGAAATAAGGTTGTCTACGTTTTTCATCTCGATATCCAGAATCTTATTGCGAACTTCAATTAATACATTTATTTGTTGCAATAAGGTTAAAATTTCAATCCATATCGCTGATAAAAGAATGCATTCTAATATATCCAAATATTGATTAATAGACTGTAATTCGATATGGCATGAAGTGAAACAGTTACATGTTTCTTTAAAGTTTCCCATCTCCGTGGACTGCTGCTAAAGAAATTATACATTTACTGAATTCTTCCAAAGTATAATATCCGCCTCCTTGCATGTTTCAACACTGTCAACTCCTACAAGATTCAAAGTGTGGTTTTCGCAGCTTGAAAAAATGCAATTATGATTACGTTCAAGCAAAACCGCTTGTACATCTTTATACTGTCCTGCCATATTAGCATCATTATCATATGCTTGCCCAATACATAAAGTGAAATCAAGTTCAAAATGTTCTAGAAGTTCTAGAATTCGTAAAGCGATTTCTTTTCCTTTCTTTTGTGTGAAAGAATCAAACTTGATGAATCGTTCCTCATTCGAAAAATTTGAATTACAATTATTTTCACATACCGAATGATGAGACACGTTTCTTCTATGTGTGAACACTTTGGAGTTGCATC